AGATTTTGCATGCCTTAATCTGTCAATTACATGTCCCTTCATTCCATGGCTTTCTCCCCCGGAAGAAAATTCATCATTTGTGAGAAATTTCTGCTCACTAGCAGCATCAACTGAAAGTCCATCAACCGAATCAAGTCCAACAGTACCGTTCTCTTCTTCCAGCCCATTTCCCCCAATTCCATCTGTTGCTGAATTTTTACCAACATCATCTTGACCTACTTTCAAACATTTCTTATTGTCATCATCAATGACCTGAGCATCAGTACCATCCATGATGTCCAAATTTTCACCAGAAGGAGTTAATCTAGCAGAAGTAATCAGAATATCCTTCGCATTTAGTAGAGTTTCACCACCTGATTCAGATTCTCCAAGAGCATCTTGGGTCAAACTTTCACTGCTGTAACTTAGAGCGATAATGGACTCTTCCTCTGCTTGGTCAATGGCACAGGAAGAGATCGAAGAATGAGCACTATGACCACCTGCTTTTGGGAAGGCCATTGAACTAGACCTCCCCGAGCTAATAGAAGATGCATTGCCGTTGTCCAAACACCCTGGATCGGAAGAAAGGTCAAATGATGATGAGCAGGAAGAACTCGGAAGTAAGCTCTCTGCTGGTTGCAAGTTCTCTGCAACCGCAACTTCTGATGTAACATCAGATCTTGTGAGCTCCAACACTGGATCTGAAGCTAAAAGGTGATTCTCCTCAATCCTTACGATGGTCTCGTCAATGGCAACAGATCCGCTCTGCCATTCAAAGCCAACAGTCCTTTTAGTAAAGTTGAAGCTATTAAGTTAGATGTTCGAAGCCATCAACCCAGTGCCAGACAGGTCTTATACCTCCAAACAAGAGCACATAAACCCAGAGATAAATGCAACAGGCACTTTAAGCCCCAAGCCCACCAAGTTTCACATCATGTGAAGAATCGGACGGTGTTTCAAAACATTTAGGTGCATTCCATTTCCTTCCAACATAACTGGATTCTTTGAGGAGAATGGTCCAGACTCAAAACCACAAAACTTGTGCCTTTTCGCTACTTGTTATATGTTCCTAAATACATGCTACAGGAGGCTGGTACAGTTTCTAAGAAAAATATCTAATGTTATAATTAGGATTCCTACAAGCATGAATGGCCTATCATCATGAAAATTATTCAAGGTATCCAAGGAAAAACACTGGTAATTACTACCAGAGGAGCTACAACAAGTACCTGTTCATTTTGAGGAGGTAGAATGCCATTAGATCTTAAAGGAGAAGAGGGAATCGACACTGATGCGTGGGATGAAACATCATCATCAGTGAAAGATGTCATTTCCGCTTCTGCTGCATATTCTTCTCTCATCAAGGCCGCAACGGACTCGCTGCCATTCTTGTCCAGTGATGATTGCATCTCCAAGCTTTCCTTTGAGGAAAAACTTAAGGAACCTTTATCAACAGGCTGAATATTGACATACAGAACAGGTTGAGCCGTATTCCTAAAGTTCCTATGGCAATTCATTTGAGCAGTAATGCTTATGGCATCCTTGATGACACCGTAGTCTGCCAAATCTACCGAGGCGGTACCAAGCAACTGGCCTTTCAAAGTCCTATCCCTTCGAGGCTCGTACAAGTGAAACTCCAAGCAATTCTTTTGGAACGCATCGCCGTCTCCTGATTTGGCAGAGGTATCCCTCAGTAGAGTCACCGGTAGCCTAAAGGACTCGTTGAATTCGATCTTGCCATCGTTGACGCCAGAGCTCAGAGATGGAACGACAGAACTCGTCGACCCACTATGCTTTTCCCCGTTTTCCCACTGGACAAGGGCAGAGCGGACCGACTTGAGAGACTGCGACGGAGGCCAGGGTTTGATCTCCTGAATGTGGATTAGATAGTGAAGCTTAACAGAGGCGCTTTTCCTGGCCTTCGCCTTCAGACCAAGAACCATCGTTGCCAAAACTCCACTCTATTCCCGCGACCCGGAGGAGTATTTACGCAGTCGCCGCGAAAGGCCTCTGCTCAAATTTCACTGTCACGAAGCAAGAAAACCAGAGTCCTTATCTCCGCATTTCACAAATTTTTAAAGCTCGTCTTTTCAGCTCACCGAGTGCAAATGCGACACAACAAGCTCGAAATCAGCAAAAATTTCTCTTTCTAACACCTACGAAACTCTACAGAATTCTACCACCCGCCTGCCTGGGTAGCACTGCTGGAGCGCGGACTCTTCCTCTTGCAAAGATTGAGTCTTCGAATTTCGGGTATCGCAGAATGACTTAACCGGTGTACGTGTGTGTGGTGGCTAGCACGTATCGCCCCCAGAGTTTACCTCCCGGCCGTCGGCCGTGCGGGTTCCCTGGGTAAAAAAAAAAAAAACTCTACAGAATTCTGAACAGAGCATTGCACCAACAACTCGCGCATACACGCTGCGTTTAGCCCGACTGATCCAGAGGTAAAAAAACCACCACCGCAACGCGGAACTTGCAGCCACTCAGAGCTCAAAGCAACACAACGATCAACAGAAAAAAAAAATCCAAAATGGTGCTACAAGAACCAACTCAAAAACCACACACGAACATGTTAAAGCCTCCATTTACCAACCACAGAGATCAGACAAAAAGCGAACACTCCGCCAAATCATCAGCCACAGCAACCCACGACGCTTCCTCACCGGTCAAAATGTCGGCAGCCGAGACTCGCCGGAGAACTCGGGGAGAGACGCCAAGGACCAGCCGTTTGCTCCGTCAAGCTCGCGCAACACCTCCGCCTGCAATGTCTGACGTTTTACGGGAGGAGCTTTCAGAGGAGAATGAAAGTGAAGAAGAAGAAGGAAGAGGAAGAAGAAGCTGGGAGAGAATCTTTAGTCAAACGCACAAAAATACGAGAGAGAAGAAAACTGCAGACCGTAGCAGAGCAGAATAGCCATGAGTTAAAAAAGGAAAGGCCTTGATTTTTTTCCTTTTAATAATTTTTAGTGAAGCTCGGTTTGGCCAGGGAGGGGCGCTGATTTCGACGGCGAAAAGGCGATGTCGTTCCACGTGCTCTGCGGATTGGAAATCCCGTCGTTTTGAGTTCGTTTTGATAGCGATGCCTGGGCGGAAATGATTTTCCACTCACTAAATTAAAAATTAAATGCGAAATGCGTTTTCCCTTGAATGTAGCGACCAGCGAGAATCTTCACGCGCGTCGGTCACAAGGCTGGTCGGAGCCCTACCCCGTTCCGGCCACCACTTGATAAGAAAAATGTCGAGCAACACTCGATACGTAATTAAAAAAGGAAAAATCTTTCACTTTTCATATCTCGAGTTAATACCAGGGAAAAAACCCAAATTGATATGGTTTGTCACGTGAACTTGTCATGTCAATTAAGTTGTTATCAGATGTTATTCAATTCAGCAATTTCACGAAAAATTTGACAGAAGCTAACGAAGGATAAATATGTCGCCAGTGTACAAATTTGCTATTTTTTGTGACCCTTAAATTAGTTTAGGTAAATTCGTCACAGGTGTACCAATTTAAAAATTTTAGTTATCCGAAAATTAATTTTGGGTAATTTGCTCAATTTGAGGTTTTTCATGATATTAACAATTCTTTTATCTTTTCCTTACCAAAAAAAAACAATTCTTTTATCTACGTAAAGAAAATCGAGAAAAAATCAAAATGAGATTTTCTTATCTTAAGACGGAATTTTTTCCTCGATAACACAAATATTGACAAAATAATAATAAATCGATTGGGTTTAGCTGCACATAACCGAATTATACTGATTTTTTTTGTACCTAACATGTGATGATCACACAAAATGATTAGGAATCAAGCACGTACAATGCAATAAGTCAATTAAACTATGATTAATTTCAAAATTTTAGTGACAAACAAAGCGATAGTCATATACACATCAATCATTTGAGCTACACATAAAATACATTTTCCGTATACCCAAAACACTCAACAGAGTAGTTTGCTCAGCGGCTGAGTAGCGCGTGAGTCCAAACGCGCGTGGGGTACCGAGGAGATGGTGGGAATAGTGGACATTGGCGCGTCGTTGTCAAGCCTCGCTGGCGTCATTCGCCGACACACAATTCTGAAAAGGGACGAGGGCCCCAATCACCGTTCATCGGCACTACACGCGGACGGTCACGATTCTCTTCCGTACCGATGGGTCGGACCGAGCCCATAACCCACCGCAACAGAGCCCGCGAGAGCAACCTAACCCACGTCTTGTTACGAAGATATGATTTGGTATCACTCGTGACGGTGATGAATAAAGTCGGACATTTTCAACGTGAGGTGACGAAGACCAAAGCTTCCTTTATTTCGCAAAAAATGATTAATTTAAAAAATATTTTTTTAAAAAACATTATATTTGTCGCTTAAAATAATTAATCAATAAAAAATATCTTGCAGATAATAATTCATGTCCAAATATTTAATTAGGAGACGAATATATTTTCGTTAATTCATTTTTGTGAATGATGTAAACGATCGATCATCACTAATTTTTAGCGAAACAAACAGAGCACAATGTCATTTTGATTGGTCTTGACTAATTAGGGAAATAATAGATATAAAGTCCACGCCCAGATTGATCACAGCCCCAGAGAAAAAAAAATTTTAAAAAAAAAGAGTTGACTAGCGTCGGCTTGGTGGTGGTGAGGAGGAATGCGAAGTTGCTGGCGCGAAATATACGATATACTATATAAAATTCAATCGTCATCCCCCAAAGGTAGCAACCCTCTTGGGCAAATTGTCAACGTGCCGACAATTCTCGACATGATTCGATACACTTAACAGAAACAAATGCCACGAAAAAAAAGAATAACAATGTTTTCCGGCAATACTATTTGGCGCCCATTCATAATTCAAATAGAGCACGTGAACACGAATTGCCAGAGCCTGCACAGGAAGACAAATTTTCTCACGAGAGCAGAAGGAGATAGGAGTGATGAGAAAGACAAATCGGTTCGTGGGTGATGTTGACTTCAGCTTAGTAGAACAGCTCACGGCCAACCACGGACGATGGAGAATCTATCAAAATGCTTGGACAAAAAACTTTATTTTTCAGGGGAGTGGCGATGAGTGGACCACCTAAACCTAGTAAAGCGCAAAATTGAAGAAATGTCGGCACCGTGCTGGAGTTGATGAATGCTCCTGTACATTACAGCCATTTCCAGGTTAACACTTCGTTGTACCATCCAGATTGAGAACAATCCGACTGAGCATATCACGGGCCAAACTTAAACCTTATGCCGGTGCTTGCCGGGCAGACGGATTCCGGATTCAAATGGGCAAATGTGCCGGAGTCTGCTTTGTGCTCCTGCCCGTATGGAGAAATCAAAAGAAGGAACAGATTTAAACCTGCGTAACCGCCGACTATTTACAGGAGAGCTCGGTCCCTGAAAATGCGGGGCCCTTCCTCAAGACTGAGAGGTAGCGTCGGATTTTTGGTCGGTGTCATACGCCGCCTGGACTTGGGCCGCATACTGTAAGTTCCAGAGGACGTCCTCGAAGGAGGGGCGATCCGAGGGGTCGAGAGATATGCATTTGTTCGTGATGGATACCGCGATGGACAGCGACTCTTGCGAGCATGTCGTTAAGACTATTGGATCCACGATCCGTCTCCGTCCGTCCTGACTACCAAAAGATGCCTGCACGATGAAATGGGTATTAAATTTACGTAGCGGCAGGACTGCTAGGATGAGGAACGAAAAGATCTTTCGGCATGTAGCTGTTGTTATCATTTAAAACGTTTTCATGCGCTCTTTAGGTAGAATACATTAACGTTAGACAAAGGAATATCTGTATTTAGGATAAAGACCATCTTGAGACTGCCAGTTTTAAGCCCCGTCAAAAGCTTCCAAGCAAATGAACTCCCTAGCATAAGTTTAACCTTTATAAAACTTTTTGAATAGTAAAATGATAGTATAGATCTGAGTAACTTTTCTAGACAGACAAGTAATAAGAACAAAAGGCTGAAGCTCAAAAAAAGGATCGTGTGAGTCTCATCTGCATTGAGTAACCGACTAGACATTTGATTTGTTTGGGCTTACCATTTCATTCAGCAGAAATGTCTCTCCTTTCCCGGTAACTATGGTCCCAACAAGTGACTCGAGTAATATGAATCCGAAATTGTACACATCATCCTCCATGTTCGTCTTCTGACTGCAAGAAGTAAGAGTCGAGATCGAGCATTACTAGTACATCCATAGAATTCGAAGCAAATAGACTTGAACCGATGAGGAGAAATCTGAAAATAACAGGTAATGATTGGGTATCTTGGTGCCACCAGTTATCTGCAATGATTCTATCAATATACACCTCACATGTTGCTAGCTCCAGTTGTATCTCCACAAGACTCAAGCTCAGTGCATGAAATCCGTAATAGTATCTCAAGGAATGGGTGATTCAGACAGCTAAATATTGTCCTCGGACCAATACTCATTTGAACATGCATGTACTATGTACGTTCATTTAATGATGCAATTACACGATCTAGCGAGATTTTCAGAAATGAAGTTCCATACCCTGTTTTGAGTCCTTCTCCCTTTGCCTATAAATAAGCAAAAAAATGCATCAGGAACAAACCCGTACTAAAAAATAGCTGCAGCTTATATATGAGAGTACCAAGAAGTAATACTGAAGAAACTTACCTCCAACTTTTCGAAATCATCAATGAGGATGGACATTCCATAGTCACTTAGCTTGGCAATCTGATGCTCATCAAGCAATATATTATTTGTTTTCAACCTATTGTTGAAGCAACCGGGAATGACCCCAGTATGAAGAAAATGCACGGCCTTGGCAACACCAATGAGTATGGCCAATCTATCTGACCAATTGAGAACCTTCTCCAGAGAATTCTCTGCATACAACATGTACATGAAGATGTTGAAGACATAGAACATGGGTTTTGAACAATTTGAGGATTCCTATAAACTATCCTTATAACAAAGAAGGCGGCATTCTCAAACACAGTGATTGTATCACACTTGTGAAATCTCTCCTATACGGCACCAGTAGGATTCTGACCTGTTAAGTGGGTACGGTAATTTCCATTGACCACGTATTCGTATATGAGAAAGACCTTAGTACTGGACTCATCTTGTCCTTGACCATCAGCACAATGGCCCAAAAGTCCGACCAGATGTGGATGATGGAGCTTAGAAAGCAAGTCGAGCCGTACCCGGAGATTCTGCACTGAATGTTTCTTCAGCGAAACTATGGACCGAATGGCAACATAGGCTCCATTCTCGAGCCTTCCTTTGTAAAGCTGAAAGGAATAACAAGTCACGATCAGGTCTTATGGTCTCTCTATATGATTTCTTTACTTGGTAATTTTAGACATTTGAGGTTGGAACTTAGCATGTCAATAGAGAGAAGCAAATTCAAAGACCATTGCAAGCTTTAATAGAGTGATCGCAGCTCGTGAAGGGTGAATCCTATAAAAAGTAAAGCAAAGCCTGTATTTAGTGATCTTTTTAATTACACCCTTCAAGAATACCTTATTTTGCAAGAGAGTAAGGAAAACCGGCAGTTAGGAGATCACAATCTCGAGATTTACTTTACTTCAGAGATTGCTATCTCAAGTAAATTACTTCTGAGTTTCCCATGACGAGTAGCCATCACAGAATAGTTAAAGCAAACAGTTATCGTCAAGCTAGGTTATGAGATCTCCAAGAAAATCTTATTTGCGAGTTACCTTCCCAACAGAGCCTTCACCCATCAAATTTGATGGAGCAAAGTCATTCGTTGCTTCCTTCAACTCTTCCAACGAAAACAGTCGATATGAAGGTGCGCTCCGTGTCCCTATCTTTGCTGCCTCGGATATCAACCCTCCAAAGAACAGAAGACATACATAGATTAGTTTGATTCTGAATCAATGCCTCAGCAGCATCTCACTGAACAAGAATAAACACGACATGCTCAAATGTAAACAAACATTAGGGTGATGAAACCACAAGACCATAATTCGGCAATCACTTACTGGCGCTAGCCAGGAATTCAGCAGACAGCCCAGCAGGAGCATTTTCTTGTACAATCTTTGGCAAATCATGTTGCTCAAATGTTCGTCTAGAACGAACTTTTCTACAGAAAACAAGAAGTCCAAGCGCCAAAAGCACAATGACGAGAGCAGCGCCAACGATGATGGCTATCAAAACTCCTAATTCTCCTCCGAGAAAATGCTTCCTCCTCGCAACAGGTGTCTTGCAGTAAGCCTCGCTGTGCTGATGTTTGACATCAACGGACAAACAGTTCCCGCTAAACTTAACCACGGGCTTGGCCGAAGTAGCACCCAGGCATGAAGGAAGCTCGCCGATGAACTTATTGTTAGATATGTCTACGAAGCCCAACTTACTTCCGCAATGTAGATTTCCCGGGAGCGAACCGCTGAGCATGTTCGAGGACAAATCCAAATAACTGATGTTCGGCAGAGAGAACAGGGCTTGCGGAGGCATTCCGGTCAGAAAATTGAAGGACAAATCAAGGTGTTGGAGCTGATCCAACTCACCGTATTGCTCAGGAATATCACCAGAGAAAGAATTCCTACTCAGAAGCACAGTGACCAACCCTCTTGGCAAATTAGGCGGGTCGGAATCGAAATGATTGTCTATCAAGTCCAGCAGGTGAAGGCTGCTCAAGGCACCCATATCAGGCAACTTACCAGACATCTCGTTCTTTGACAGAGCGACAGTACTGAGCGTCTCTATCCTCGAAATGGAAGATGGAAACGGACCGCTGAGCCGGTTGTTCTTGAGACTCAAGACAGTCAAATTGGACATGGAGTCCAAACCATCGGGAACACTACCATCGAAGTAATTCCCATCCAGAGTCAGAAATTGGAGGCTCGCCAGCCTCGATATCTGACTCGGGATCGGGCCGAACAAGTAATTTGAGCTCAAATCCAAGAGCTCGAGCGAAGACAGCCGGTGGATTTTATCAGGAAGTGGTCCCCAAATGCCCAGGGAGACCAGGCTGAGCACTTGCAAGCTGGTCAGTCTGGTCAGCGTGGTCACGAAGGAATCGACAGAGAAGGTCTCCGACAGAGTCTGGTTGGGAATTGCGTGGCCATCGAAGTCACGGACCTTGACGCGCTTGTCTCCCATGATCCTGAGCTCGGTGATGAAGGTGTCCTGGCACGTGATGCTCAACTGGGGAGAGGGAGCAGCATTGCAGACGTCTCCAGAGTAATTTACCCAGATGTCCAAGCACGGTGGGTACTCCAAGTGTTTCCTTAGTTGAAGCAGGACCTGGGATTGGTACGTCTGCAGCTGGTGCGTGGTCGGAATCAGCATGACTCCCGAAAGAAAAAGCAACAGGAAGCAGGAAACATCGGCCATTTTCGGGAGAAATGCGGGGCTCCAGTCTCTCGGGAGCCTCGCTTTCGCCGAGAAGACGGAGGAGGAAGAAGAAGAAGAAGAAGAAGTTGAAGTCGCCGGAGACGAAGCAGGTCGGGTCCTGTAACTGAGGAAAGGCGGAATCAACTCCACCAGTGAAGGATGAACATGCTCGAGAGAGGACAGCAAGAACTCCGAATCCCCCTCGTATCCCAGAATTCAGGGGGAAAAAAAATCTGGACAACGCGCGGGAGAGAGAAAAAGTAGGCCGGATTCCGAGAAAACGCCGCGAAATGCCGGAAAAAATTTCCCCGGCGGCCGTTTTCCGGGGGAAAAAACACAAGAGAAGCTAAAGCTCGAAGCCTGACTCGACGAATTCTAACATAAGAACTGAAAGGGAATGAGAATATATAGTCGTCGGAGGAAATGGCCGAAATGCTTTGCTGGTCGGTAATAATTGCCCGAAGGAATGTCTCAGGACAAACTTCGAGTGGAAACACGGACACAAAAAAACGAACGGAAAAAAGGGGGAAAGCGAGAGACAGGGCCACTACGAAAGGAAGAGAGGAGGAGGAGGAATGGCTAATAACTGCTTGGGGAGCGAGAGAGAAGAAGAGGAGACAGAGAGCCTCGGGAAGAGAGGAATCAGATAGCCGTCAGAGCTCGTAATGGAACCGAACACTGTACGATCTTCCCTTCCCTTCATTGAATGCGGGGGCCGAAACATCAAACATGAGACGGTGCGACAATAATGGAGGTAGTTGGAGTGTGTCAGCCGAGCGGTGGCGGAGAGAGAGAGACGCAGCAGGGGAAGGTAGTGCGATTGCTGCAGCTTTTTGCTCAGTTGGAGGAGGAGGCAGAGGAGGGGGAGTAATGGAGGTCGGGGTCGGGTCTTCAGAAGAGACAAAAGGAAATGTCGAGGTGGAGATGAGGACGACGAGAGAGTCAGACAGACGGCGAGGAGGAATGGGAAGAAGAAAGAGCCAGAGTCCCGATCGCTCGCTCGCTGCGACTCGGTGAGTGGGAGTAGCGAGTTGGTTTGGGGACACTCTGCGACTGTGGCTTGAGATTTTGCAGGCATTTTTCTGGCCTTATTCTGTTTGGATTTTCGTTTTTTTTATTGTCCTTTTTTTTTTGGGGGCTCTAGCTGTTGGTGGGCCGATGAAATGCCCGCGGATTCTGATGCTATTTACGGGACTGCCATCACGTGGTGTCCCCTGCACCAATTTTTGAATTGATGGAAAGTTGGACCGGCTTTGAACGCATGCTGCTGCCTTGTCCGGTCACTCGGTCGATGCTTTAATAATCCTGAACTTCTTGGTGGAAAAAATCCAATTTTTGGAGCACGTAACTTGTCGAGATGATAGGAGTAGAGCTTGATCACCACGAGTTTTGTTTAAGGAGCGACTCTAGAGATTTTTTTTTCTTTTTCCAAACATGCTTAATTAACGTATGTTCGATTCGTAAGAAGATGTTGATTACACTCGTCTCGATAAAAGCTGATGGGTTTTTACGAAATTATTTAGGTGCTTTTTTTGGTTTTGTTCCCGATGACGCGAATGGAGAAAAGTTAATGGTCACGTCCATGGTTTGATCTCGTCCTATATAAATGGAAAGATTAATAGTTGCTTTGCCATAGCCTTCGTATCAGGGCTCTTCCTCAATTCGTCCTTATCTAGAAAGTTCGAGTGAACAAGATGCCTCAAAAAAAAGATTTTTTTGTCAACGAAGCTAAAGTTCAGTGTTCAATTCTTACCACGCATGGCCTTTAACGATCATATTTCAAAAATTTCACAACACGGCATATGGTCTCAAAAAATGACTTTTTATAAATTTTTCAAAATTAAACGACAGTCTCCTGTTTTTGTTGGGAGAGTACAGAAGGTTGCTTTTTTTTTTAATCGAAAGCAAACGGGCTAGAAAGAGCGACTGCATTCTTCTTTCTTTAGCTTGAAATACAATTCTTCTTCTTTTCGGTAGATGACTTACCTTCTTTCTCATTTGAGATGATCTGACACCTCTCTTTTTGCATGAAATCACAAGCGAGCTCGACTCAAATTAGATCTCACCATATTCATTACGCGCGCGAAGCAGCCGAAGCGAATTTCTAGTATTTGTCCGAATTCATATCGATTCTACCACAGTAAGATTGAGTGGAAATGGCGGGACAAAATGCGGATATGTACAATCATTTTGTATCAAGATCTAAATCAAAAGTTACCAATTATAACCAAATTCGAGGGAAATGATTGAGCAAACCCTAGATTTCCGAGTTGGGGATTGCTGACTCATCTTTTGCCCCCCCTTGGATTTTTCGAAACTCCAACCTGACTGTTGGGAGGGGTGGGTGGGGTCCCGCTAGCCCATGCATGCAGCCAGCCTGTTTCGAATGGCGAGACCACGTGGCGTTATCCCGCGAGTGGTGCTCGGGGAATCCCATGAAGTCGCCGGGACGTCGCGACCACGCGCGTACCCCCCCGGCTCGGCGCTTTGCTGTGGCGTGCCGTACACGCGCCGGCGAGGGCGAGTGGGTGACGGTTTAGCCATGTGCGGGAGCTTGAGGACGGTGACGCGGACGAACGCTTGTTGACTGCCCAGACAAAGAGGCATGTTGGTTGGGCATCATGGGTTAAGAAAGAACAAATTATTTATCATATGTTGATTGTCATCATTAATGAATCTTAACGAATATTGAGTAATGATTGACCATAAGGTCATAAATAGGTTTATCAAATGATTTGGCAAATTGTACGTGATGATTAAACCAATGGACCTATTTAAGTCCCTAATTAAAATCTATCCCGTTATTTTAGTAAACTCATCCAGCATATGAGTCTTAGGCTGCATCTAATAAAAAATCCTTTGTAAAGTTATTTTAGTTTAAGTGGTGTTTGGCAAAAAAAAATTTGCCAAGGACTTTTGGGTTCAACTTTTTTTTACCCTTCGCCAGAGCCGGCAAAGGGTTAAGGCCGTCGATGAGCCAGTTCTGGCGCCGTCACCTGAGATCATGTGACCCTAAGCGACGAGGCCTGAGATCCGCAACTTCGCCAACCTCTTGTCGGCCCTTGCGCAAAGCAGACGAACAATAATAGCGAGGGGCAAAACCAAAATATTAAAAAATTGGCGATGGTAGTTTTGAAGGAAAAAACTAGCTTCAGCATTCGGCCAAATGCCGAAAGCCTGTTGGTAGGGACCAACATCCGGCTTTCAATTTTCCCAATGCCAGCATTTCTCCGGGGGGATTTTCGGCCTCCAAAGCCTCTTGGGAAAGTTAAATCAATCGCACCCTTAATATCTCTAACACTATTCATTCATAAAAAGTAGCTGAATTTTATATTTTAACTTTTCCTGCTAAATATTGTCTATTTCATATGCAAATAAATCATCTAAATGGCGGGAATAGGATAACTATAAGTTTATTGGAATAATTACAACAAAGAAGCGAAATACATATGCTTTTGTATAAGATGCGGTTAAAGATAGATTCTTGGCATCTGGCTCAGTCAAATCAATCCCCAAGTTCCGAACACGCATTTTTACATTGTGTCGTCTTTCGTGTAAAGACGAGCCGCTGAGTAAATTTTCTATGTGATTAGAACGGACCCGCCACGTACTTTAATAAGGCGAAAGCCTCAAAGCAACTTGTTCACGCTTGTTACAGCTTTTTTTACCCATGTTATATTTGACCAAAAGTGAATCGCGGGTCGCGAGGACAGAGGCCGGATTTCGCGTCTTCATCCTTTTTCAATCTTTGTTAGCTCTTGAATCCAAGGCACGTTCCGTGGCGGTGCTAGTAAGGATTAGTTTTCTAATCTACAGTAAAAGGAGTTGATTAGACAAGCTTCGAAGTCCAATTTAAAAAAAAAAAAGGTGTTTAAATTAATCATCGCTAATATGTTAATCATCACTCCCCGCTACTTAACTAAATACCAGCGGTGACTAACTCTGTTTTGATTAACCAAAATGATGGGAAGAACTCGCGCGATCCACGTGACGATGAAATCGAGAAATGGATGACCGCGAGGTAGGGTCTTAGGGGTGTTCATGGGTCCGGCGGCCTGCTCGGCCGACACCCGACGTAGACCGTACTGAACCGATCCGTCTAGCGTTCGAAACGCGGAAGCTATCACGGGCCACTTCAGGGTTCGGCCCACGGGATTGAGTGTAGCCCCACGGACATGTTCTCGTGACATTGAGAAGATCCGAGGGTACAATGAACAGAGTTTAGGGCCCAACAAAAAACATCGGCCCAAGGAAAAGGAAAGGGAGAAAAGAACGTATCTTCTTTTACCGAACGGGTCAGATGACCAGAATATGTCCAACGTTCTTAACGAGTCTAGAAATCAAGCATCGTCGAGCGAATCATTTCAAATTTAGAAAAAGAATGATAGCGTTGACCTACATATTACAACGCGATGGGAAATCTCTCAATTTTTATATGTTTTGCTTGGGGAGACAACATGAATATAAAAATAATTTAACACCCGTTGTCAATTGATGCAGAATTATGGGAAGGTGATTGTGGTCTAGATAAGTAGCAATGCCTTTTTTTCTTTTTCATTTGGGTACTTGCAAAGGAGTGCATAGAGTAACAATATCGATGTGAGAAAAAATTCTATGGAGAGAACGAATAGTTCTTATATAAATGGATACAAGTTATGAGTTACGTACAGTCGACATTCTCACATCTCTCGCGAAAACATTTTTTGCATTTACCGCGGATAGAGTAAGTATTCATAATAAAAAAAACCCCGATGATGATTGAATAATTAAGTGTTTAGTTTAGGTTCAGTGTATCAAATCACAACTGCTCTTCAGATTATCTTTGGGCGCCCATCCTCGCGCACCATGTAAGTGGAGTCTTACTTGATGCATATGGACATGACAGTTCGTTTGCACTCACGAGAACGAGTTGAGCAGTAATGTTCAGACATCGAATGTCATTTAATAAATGAAAAAAAAGAAGAAGCAAATTTCATGCCGCGAAAGAACAAATCCCCATGATGATTGATGACCTTTATCATCAAACTCTAGGCCCCCCCATGCTTTCCTCACGCAAGCAAGTAGTAAGAAACGTGCCCTTCAAGCTCCCCCCTCTCTCATGATTTGCCCGCGACACGAAGCCTCGAATTCGTGCAAATAAGTTCCCACTCGACACAATTTTTTCATAAACAAGTCACGATTCCCTTCCCTTATCCTCCCCATCTTACTCTTCCCCTTTTCACTCCCCTTAGGCAATCTTCTAAACCCCATCATTGTCGCCCTTTGCCGTGGCCAAATCGTGGCTTTGGGGGCCTCCCTAATCATCCCGGTTGGGCACTAACCGAAGCTTGCCCGTCAATTTAAATTGAGGTCGCTTTTCTTTCTTCTTCTTTTCCCCTTAGAAGGAGCGGTTAACCCTAGCTTCGAAGGAGAGCCACGATGAAATTCACTTATTGTGTAAGGAAAGATTGTGAAGCAAGAGATCGAATTGTGTTTTAAGTGGTTTGAGACTCAAGTTAACGT